TATAAGGGAAAAAGAGGGGTCGAATCAAGAAAAGATAAGAATTCGAATCGGATAAAACTCTTGCGATAGACAGCAGTTTTTGTGGTTTTTTGTTTTTATCATATCTTTTGATCCAGAAATCGGAATAAGATGAATAAGATATTGTTGGAAAGCTCTTGAAGTCTAATTTCTATCCCAATTAGAATCAGATTAAAATATTTTGTAGAATAAAAGATATGGCCGAAATAGTGGGACGGTTTCAGTTTTGGATAGAGTTTCGTATTTCTTTTATATCTTTTTCGTTATAGCTCGGAATTAATATTATAATATATCATTGGAAAGATAATTTCAAGAGCTATCTAACCATATAAGAATCAGATAAAAACTATGAAGCACGAAAATAATATATTTCAATCTTTGAACGTCTTTCAATTCAAATTAAATTACTAGAGGAGTTTTATTCTATTTCAAACTCTTTAATCTTATCTTTTCAAAAAGGATAATTAGGATCTTTTAGAAACTTATAGAAGCTTCCAATTAATCCTAATTGGATTAGGAGTGGGATTAAATCCTTTGGACCCTCCACATAATCATTGGGTCGTAGATAAGGTGGGCTTAGATTCGGTTTAGATCCAGTTTAGTGTTTTGGCCATAACTTATTCGTTATAACTTGGATTTGGGCTTATAATATATCATTGGAAAGCTCTTTTAAAGCACCATCCAAATATTTAACAATTGGACCCAGATTATGGACCAAAATAAAATGATATAAACGTTTTATAAAAAGGACACAAAATGAATGATTTTAATGGACACGAAATGAATTATTTGGGCTTAAAGGCACGAAAAGAGGAAAATAAGTTATGATTTGGGAAAATGGGCTATGAATTGGATTGGTTTATGAAATGTATTGAATGGAACATGGATTTAAGCACTCTAAAGATTACATACTCAACCCGACCAATAATGGCAGTAAAAGGTTGTTCATCATTGGGTTTGGTTTTGGGGAGACATTTTTAGGTGTCTACAATAGGTTTTCTCACTTTCAAGGAGATGCCTTATTGAGTTCCAACTCAAGTGAAATTCTTAAATTCCAAGGTTGGTATTTATAGAGAATTTCATGAGAGCACTCCACTCTCCCATCAATGTGAGAGAGTTGGTAAAAATCATTTTTTCATTTTATTTTTAAATCAAAAATAAAAGAAAATAGCAAAGCAATAATTAATCAAAAAGTGTCAAGCAAGGAGGGGGAGGGTAGGTGAGGACCACAAGGGAAGGGGGGGGGGGACCAAACCTTGCTCCCCAAGCTTCCCAAACCGCCCTCCCTTGTTCTCTCAGCTCTAACCAGCTGGCGGGCCTGGCCTTGGCACCAAGGTTGCCTTGCTGGCGCCTAGTGCCCTCGGCTGGGCCTGCTAGCTGGGCGTTAGCTACGCAGGCTTGCTGCTGCCTTGACCCAGCATGTCGCGCATGATTGCGGGCTGCTGGCCGACACTCTTGTGCGCCTACTGCTAGCAGTGCTAGCACGCTAGTTGTGTTCGCGCGTGGCAGCACGCTTGCTAGCATGCTAGCACGACTCGCCCCTAGCAACTAGATATAAATTTTTATATTTAAAAAATAGTGTTAAACTAATGATAATTGATAAATAGTGAATATTATTGTGCATGGCATGAGACCTAATTAACCTAATTTATATCCTTATGTGATATTTGATTTTATTAAAATTTTATATATACAAAAAGGGAGTTATAAGAAATCTAAGTATTATCCGTACAGGTTCTAATCTAGTGTAGGCCCTATTCACTTAACCTTAAAAAAACAATAATCAATAAAAATAATTTCAGTTTAGCAAAAATTAGTTTAATTCATTAAAATTAAATTCAGTGCAATTTTTCAACAAAATAATTTCAATTCACTAAAAATAATTTCACTTCAATAAAGATAAGTTGAAGTGTTGAGCAATATAATGTGTATAGTGAAAAGGACCTTACATCTTGTAAAAAAAAAAAAAAAAAAAAAATAGAGAAAAGGACCTTACATCTAAAATATAAAATCATGTCAATTTACATGTGGTCCAATGTTAGATATTTGAGTGAAAATTGGCACTAGTACGTGCAAAAGTCCAAGAATTGATAACAAACATGCCACATGGCGGTAGTGCAAAAGTCCAAGAATTGATAAACTGGCGCTAGTGCAAAAGTCCAAAAAATTTTTGGTTTCACTTCGGTTTGAAATCGGTTAGGTTTGAAAATGAATCAGTTTAAAATCGGTTCAAGTGTCTTACGAGTTTTGGTTTGGTTGAAACAATTATCGGTTCGATTTGATTTATTCCTTAGCGGTTTATATTTGGCTCAAATTGTAAACAATTCGAATAGTAAACAATTCGGTGCAAAAGGGTTGCAGTTTGTTAATTGTTTGGTGAAAACGGTTTTAATCCCGGTTCCAACGGTTTCAGTTTGGATACTGTTTATATTAGAAACGGTTCTCGATTCTTTTCGGTTTAGTTTTATTTCAATTTGGTATAAAACGGCTTCGGTTCTTATACGGTTTAAGATTTTTCGGATCGGTTCAGTTTTGAGTTTAGTAAAATACGATTTGGGTCGGTTTTCGAGTTTCTTTAAAAAAAAAAAACCCTCTTTGTTCAAGCTAGATTCGAGTTTCTTTTTCATTTGATAAATTGATAATAATATTCTTTGCTACTCCCTCTGTTTTTAAATATTTGCTCCACTTTCCATTTCTAGCCGTATTTAAATACTTGCTCCATTTTCTTTTTTAGAAAGTTTTTTGTAATATTTAATTCATTTCTCACACCTAGTGGACCCAATATAATACTCTCACTCCCCCAATTCTTTCACTATTTTTACTTTTTACAATTTTTTATTCTCCCAACTATCCCACTACTTTCATATTTTATTACTTTCTCCAATTTCTCTTAAAATTCCGCGCATGGAGAAATGGAGCAAGTATTTAAAAACGAAGGGAGTATGTTTTTGAAAAATCAATGAATGTAATAATTTCATTCTAAAAATTTCGAGAATTACAATAATACATCATAAGAATTTGACTAGGCTAGCTTTGGTCCAATATAATACCGAGCAAAATATGAAGCACTTTGATGATGTCATTTAGAGAGAAGATGGAAAGTATTTTTGCTTAGTCCATAATTACATAAAAAATTAAGTCAAGGGAAAACAATAATGTACTTTGTAATAAACATGTGTGCATAATTAGATTTCATTTAACATTTCTTTTAGCATGATTTTAATCTTCTCTTTATAGTAAGCGGTTTGCAAACGACATGATTTATAAACAGTTCGGTTCATAAACAGTTAGGTTTATAAACAATTCGGTTTGTAAACAGTTCTCTTTACAAACGGTTTGGTGCAAACAGGTTGCACTTTGTTAACGATTTGGTATAAACAATTTTTATCTCGGTTCAATGGGTTTCGGGTTGGAAACGGTTTCGGGTTAGAAACATTTCTTTTCTTTTTAAATTCGGTTTTATTTCAGTTCGGTTTAGATTTGGTTCTGTTCGCTAACGGGTTCGATTCTTATACGGTTAAACACTAATCGGATTGGTTTGGTTTCGAGTTTACTAAAATACGGTTCGGGTGGGTTTTCGGTTTCAAAAAATCGATTTTTGATCGGTTCGGTTCTAATTTGGGTCGGTTGGTTTCGGGCAGTTAAACGGTATCGGTTTAAAATTTGGCAGTGCTAATAATATGATATGTTTTTTTTTAATCCATTTAACGAAAACTAGGTTAAAATCCCATGCAATGCACAGTTGTTAAACATTATTACAAAATGTAAAGTATATAAAAGATATGAAAAAATACTTCATTTGGGTATATACGGAATATGTGTCAAATTGGAAAGAAAATCTCATAAGGTGTAAATAGTTTACTTAAAGATTTTGCAATAAATAAATAAATAAATAAATAATAATAATAAAAAATTGATAAAGGCAGGAAAATTTTTCACAAGGTAATGACAAATGTCATTGGTTATTCGTTTTTAGTAATCCCTCCGTCCCCAAAACTTTGACCATTTTGGGTTGATTTCACGGGTATTAAGAAAGTTAAATAAAAAGAAATGAAAGTATATTGGAAAGATAACTTTACATGGGATTAGTAAAAAAGTAGAGAGAGAAATTAATAAAAATCATGGAAAAAAAAAATTTTATATGGGGAAGCTAATTTTGCACAAATATTGTTGCAAATTAGTGGGTATTAGATTAAGCGCAATGCACGATTTGTTTGAATTTTTTTTTGGTTATATATTTAGATAAAATTCCTGATATTCTAAAGATAATATTTTATATTAATTAATTCAAATTTAAAAATCTTATTCGTCAATTTTGCTTACGTGACATTTGAATTATTTAATTATAAAAGATTATAATAGTCTCTTATTTAATTGGCTAAAACTAAGATTTATAATCCTACGTGGCGAACTAAGAAAATTAGATTCTACGTGGTTCTCTAAAACTCGGAAAAAAACTCCCTTATATATATATATATATATATATATATATATATATATATATATATATATATATATATATATATATATATATATTAGATCTTAATGAAAATAGGTCGATCATTTTGGACTAAAATTAGGTTAAAAGGGTCAAAGTTTTGGGGACGGGGGAGTATAAGTTATTAATAGATAGATAGATAGATGGGTGAATATGGTGTCAATTTTCCATTTACTAAAAATCAGTGTATTACAATACTCCGTACGGAGTATCAACTAGTGCAAAAGTCCAAGAATTGATAAATTGGCGCTAGTGCAAAACTCCAAGAATTAATAATATCCCGTCAAAAAACAAAGAATTAATAATATGGCATGTTTTTTATCCATTTAATGAAAATTGGTGAATATGGCGTCAATTTTTTCATTTGCTGAAAATTGGTGTATTACAATACTCCGTATTAAGTCTATTAACTAGTGCAAAAATCCGAGAATTGATAAATTCCCAGGAAGCCCTTCATCACCATCTATAAATAGCAAACATATTAGACTTCCATTTCATCACAAAAACAATCCAACCTCTTCTCTTTTATCTATTATATTTCATTTATCAATTCTTCTATAATTTTATATTTTTTTTATATCAATTCTTCCATAATAATAAACAATAAAAAAAATATCCAACCTCTTCGGCTGGTTTAATTAATTGAGTCGCCTCTTGTGGGCTTGTTTCAACCAAAAAAAAAAAAAAAGAAAAAAAAATGCTGAAAATATCGACCTCTAGTTTCAACAAAACCCTACCATTGTTTTCATTGTCCAAACCCTTTGTTATCCCAAATGGAGCATTATTATTTGGGAAGCAGGTTTATTGCCTCAATAGTGATGCTGCTGCTGTAACTAGGCCTCGGCGCCAAAGCCGAGGGCGAAATGGGGTGGAAGTTAGGGCAGTAGCATCAAGATTAGGTACCATATATCCTGTTAAACTAGCTGAGAGTGTTACGGTTACCGTCTCAGCAGAATTACCTATTGGTCAAGCACTTGAAGATTGGTTGTTTCATGAAAAAGTCTTCTATTTAATGCTTACGGATAATGATGGCAAAGGTATTATGTTAAAATCATTATAATACTACCTTCATTCTAATATTCAATTTAATTAAACTTATACATGGACATATCCATATACATCGAGTATATATAGGCAATTACATACTCACAAAACTATTTTTATTCAAGATTAAAACATGTCGACTTTGAGAGTGAGGGATAGCTCAAGTGGTTAGAACTTCCCTCCCGATCCCAGAATCGATTCTCACCGTTGCCCTTGTGGATCTCTAAATAACCAAAAAAAAAAAAAAACATGTCAACTATGGAGTAATATGCATTAGAGGAAACACATTGATAATAGAGAAAACTACCACTAAATCGAGCATTTTTCTCTCTTTTTTCTGTAAAACTAGTGTGTGATTTGGATGTTGTACTTAGTTGTTACTTTAAAACATAATATTAGGAACAAGAAAAATAAAATAAATAAAGAGAATAATTCTCCATTGTCTTGTTAATGTTAAGGTTATTTCGCTTTATTAATTTGTTTCAGCAGGCTATTAATGTTTTTTTTTTTTTTTTTTTTTTTTTTTTTTTTTTTTTTTGTACTTACTTAACTATATACTTATTTATGTATATATGGAGAACATAAATCTCTATTGACTAAGGACATGTTCACATTTACTGAACTGAGCTGAGTTGAATTGAACTGAACTGAACTAACTGGAACTGAACTGAATTGATTGGAGCTGAAATGAACTGAATAGAATAGATCGATTGAGTTTAAATGAATATTTAATGAGAGAAGGAAATTAGGAGCTGAACTGAACTGATTGGAGCTGAACTAAACTGATTGGAGCTGAACTAAACTGAACTGAATTGAAATTAAGCTGAAGTGAACAGACCCTAACATGGTAATATGATATTATATTTAAGAGGTTAGGCCCTATTCACTTCACCATAAAAAAAATTATTCAGTAAAAATAATTTCAATTAAGTAAAAGTAAGTTTAGTATGCAGTAAAAATAATTTCAGTTCAATCAGTAAAAAAATAAGTTTAGTTCATTGAAAATAATTCCAGTTCAGTAAAAATAAGTTCAGTTCAGTAAAAATAATTTAAATTTAGTACAAATCGGTAAATCTATTGAAAAAATATATTAGAGAATTAGCAAAAGTAATTAAGTTCAGTAAAATTAATTTTAATTCAGTAAAATTAATTTATGTTCAACAAAAATATATAATTTTAGTTTAGTTAAAATAATTTATCTTCAGCAAAAGGTGAAGTGAATAGGGCCTTAGTATTCGTAACTTGTGGGATTTTTTTTTTTTCTAAATAACACTCTTTTCGTATTTTATTATTTACTCTATTTATTGTTTTTGCATTATTTATTTGACATTACTTGTCTAATATTTGTGATTTATACATAAGAAAAAATATAGTCTTATGGCCTTATGGGTACTTGTTGCATTGTAACCGTCTCAATGAATAAATAATTAATTTTCAATTGTAATAATTTACTTATAGATAATTAAAGACATTAATGATTAATGATTTGTATCGGTATATCTGCTTAGAAAAAATGGAACAAATAATAAAATACGGAAAGGGTAATCACATTTAATTATTGTTGCAATGCTAGCTAGTGACGACTAGGCGCAATACTAGCTAAATGATAATGTTGCATAATGTTATTACAGATCTACGTGGCACATAAACATTTTAAGAAATTAAACGTTTTTAAATAGATAAGTATGGAAATATGGATGTATATATGTGGAGTTGCGGACCATGCATGTGTACATTTTACATTTTAATTTCACGTATGCTAAAGGAGTTTCAAATATATCCCCTAGAGATGTAACATTTTCATTTTAGTAGATTATAGAGTAACTGGTACGAGCAAGTTGCTACGAATACTCAACGAAGAAAATGGAAAAATTATTATTGCAGAGTATAATTAATATTGTAGTTTCAATAGTGAAGCATTCTCAGTATAACGTACGTACTTCGTAATTGGTAATATCAGATACGTAGATGCATGTTTTTTTTGGGCCATTATATTTGGAATTAGTATTCTTTACCAACTTGGTCATCATTGGTGTAACCGTGTAAATCAGTATATGTAATAGAAATTCACCTTATAATAAGCGTAAAGGGTACATGTATTCATTTAAGCGGTTATAAAAGAAAATCTTACAAATGAATTAACATTAGTCAATCATATTGATGTATAAATGTTTTCCTTGATTTTTTCAAAATTTGTAAGGACTAAAAACATAATTATAACATTAAAAAAAAAAATGTGTTAAATCGTCTAGAAATGTTCTTACCTCATATCTTAGAAGTCTTGGATTCGAGTCTTACCAAGTGAAGGTACTTGGGATGTGATTCTCTTACCCTCCCCTCTTTCTATGTTAACCTGGATAAAAGGTGGTGATGTTTTTGCGTTGGCTAATATGTAGAGCTTGGAGAATACGCTTATCATATCAAGATTTCTAACGAGGCGGAATTTAATGCAAATTTTAATATTCCGGAAGATTTTGGTGAGGTGGGTGCTATAAGTATTACAAATGAACAGAAGACAGAGGTATTCATCAAAAATATTGTCCTTGACTTGCGTTCTGGCAAATCTGAATTTACTTGCAATTCATGGGTAGCTTCCAAAAATGACGATCCTCAACCAAGGGTCTTCTTCTCTAACAAGGTACTTCATTAACCTTAATTTTATACTACCTCCATTTCTTATTTAGGTGTAACAAAAGAATATTTTAAGTCTCACAAATAATAAGAAACAGAGGTAGCATTTTGATACTCCGTATATGCCAGGATAACCTTAGACGGCATCAAATTTTTGTACAAATAATTATTTAGAAAAAATGTTCAAAGATAGATCTTAACATGTATTTCGCTTTAATATATATTTTGTAGTCATACTTGCCATCACAAACACCAAAAGGATTGGTGAAGCTGAGGAAGGATGATCTTCTTCAATTGAGAGGATATGGAGAGGAACAAGAAGAGCGCAAAAGCTTTCAGAGGATATACGACTATGATACTTACGATGACCTTGGAGATCCCGAAAAAAGTCTAAAGTTATTAAGACCAGTATTGGGTGGTAATGAACACCCTTACCCAAGACGTTGTAGAACAGGACGTGAAAAAATTACTATTGAAGGTAATATAATTCAATTGATTTAGATTTAAATGCTTGCTTGAAAATGCAAAATCTGGCTACGTTTTCTATTGAATATTCAATTGCAATGTTTGCGATTTCAAAGATTGTTAATAAGTATTATATGCTAATATGTATATCCTCCGTTTTTAATTTCCTTGCTACATCATTTCAAGAAACAGACTTTAGGATAGAGGTGTTAATAAAAGCTAAACAATTTTGTCAAACCGGGAATATGGAAGGGATTGGTAACATATGCATTTATTATTTCGATTAATTTTCTTTTTGAAATCATTCTATCTTTTCCTCAAATTATGTTATGTGAGATTGTTTCACATGTAAAAAAACCAGAGAAATTAAAGTATTGATAAAAACAGTTGATAAAAGTAATGTAAGAGTCTATAAATTGAGACTAATCCAGTAACATATTAGTCAAAGTTTATATATATGAATAAACAAAGTTATTTACGTCAAGCTATTGCCTGTATTTAAGAATATATGTTATATAAAATTAGCTACTAATAACATATTAATGTACAGGCCAAACTTTTGAGACCCGATTGGATAAAGGTTCACCGTATGTGCCTATAAATGAAAATTTCTCAAAGTCAAAGGAGGCACAATTCAAGTTCAAGACAATTTACTCGATGTTGCATGCAGTTATACCAACAATAAAGGAGAAAGTATTCGCAACTCCAAATTCTCGTTTTCCATTCTTTACTTCCATTGATTTGCTCTACAATGAAGGAATTAACCTACCCGTCAACAATGAATACCTTGGAGATGGAAGCACCGCACTAGAATGGCTTCATCGCATCATCAAAGCTACCGGTGACCTTAAGTACAAAATTCTACGTTTCGAGCTCCCCGAGACATTTAAACGTACGTATGGGCTCATTCATACTTATTATTTAGTATTATCATCATATAATTATTAATATTAACCACAAGTTTAAACTTTTAATCCAATTACTTTTCTTTAATAGAATTTTGGTTGAGTTACTTAATTATTATTATTTTTTTGACAGATACTTTATTATTATTCTTATTAATTTATAAAGTCAATCAATTTATAAGAAATTAGTGGGGAGGCGAAATATAATAGGCCCCCACCCTTCTAGATATAGCGAACCTAATTCTACTGAAGATGTGAGCAGCTACCCCAATGTCATAAAATTAAACTTACAAACAAATATTAGTGGAAAGTCGAGAAGCAATTTGAGCCTCATTCCTATAGTTATAGCAAATCCTATCCTACTGAATATATGAGCAACAACACATGTCCCAATGTCTTGAGTCATCGAGAAATTTTGGACCTGCTTTAGCAATGCAAACTTATTATTATTATTATTATTATTATTATTATTATAACCGCCTTTGGTATATGGCTAGTTAACGCGTTTTTTTTTATTGATTGGCTTAGGGAATAGATTTTCTTGGTTAAGTGATGAAGAATTCGGTCGCCAAACTCTTGCTGGCATGAATCCTTTGAGCATCAAGCGTGTCACGGTATGATCTCATAATTATATCGAAGAGATATTAATTAATATATACTATAAGCCATTAGGTTACAGAGCTAATCCATACCATTGTACATACACTATTGTTCTAACTAATTCAGTTTGTGAATTTGCAGAATTGGCCAATAATGAGTAACCTAGATCCTAAAATTTACGGCAACCCAGAATCAGCTTTAACAACTGCACTGGTGGACACACAAATAAATATCATGACTGTTGAAGAGGTTAATCTTATGATCATACACTCACATTACATATAAGATTTTTTAGCTTCATTATTATTGATCTTCTGTGAGTTTTGAGGTGATTAATTTTTTATTACAATGTGCAGGCTATAAAAGAGAAGAGGTTGTTTATAATAGATTACCATGATGCATTGTTGCCGTTTGTGAACAAAGTCAGGAAGCTTGAAAACACGACATTGTATGGATCACGAACTTTGTTTTTCCTAGATGATGAGCAACAAACACTAAAACCTCTAGCTATTGAGTTAACGCGGCCTCCAAATGATTTAAAGCCTCAATGGAAGGAAGTTTATACACCAGGAACATGTGCTACTTCCGAATGGCTTTGGAAGCTTGCCAAGGTTCATGCCCTTGCAAATGACACTGGTTACCATCAACTAATCAGCCACTGGTACTAGTATTGTCCTTTTTATTTTTATTGACTAGTTGTACAACTTTGCTTGACTTAATTACTTTCTCTAATAATTGTAAATTTTTTAAAGGAAGTTGTTTACATTAAATTATAATATTCTCTTCACCTGATTTTGCTCTATAAATTGATCTTATTAATTAGCTCTAATAGTAATTTAATTACTGAGTACCTTAACTTGCTAGCCTTTATTTGAACTAAAACAAGATAAATTCTTTTCAATATGGTTGAACATCATTCCCTTAACCATTAAGATGAAAATTGACTTATTAGTTGATTACCGAGTAGTTCTAGAATTCATGGACTTTTATGTTTGTAATCACACTAAGGTGATTTGTCCATTACTTTACTAACTCTCATTTCCTAAATGATGATTGCAGGCTTAGAACACATTGTTGCACGGAACCATACATAATTGCTACACATAGATGCTTGAGTGCAATGCACCCCATATATAAGTTATTGCTTTCTCATTGCCGATACACCATGGAGATTAACGCTCTTGCTCGACAAAATTTAATTAACGCGGGTGGTATCATTGAGACAACCTTTTCACCAGGGGAGTACTCCTTAGAGTTGAGCTCTTACATTTATGACATTGCATGGCGCTTCGATCATGAAGCCATACCAGCTGACCTTATAAGCAGGTAAATCTAATTAATACTCCCTCCGTCCCTAAATTACATTCCTCTTTGGAAATTTACACGAGAATTAAGGAGGGAAGAATAAGACAAATAACAATAATTAGATAATGCAATGGGAAGTACAAAGATAGATTAGTTATTACTCATGACAAGTCATCAATCCTTTGCAAAAAAAAAAGGACCAATTACATGCACATAATTAAAAATTTTTAACCAATCATATTCATTGTAATTTGGCACAAAGATTATGAGTGAGATTAAGTAAGGATGAGTGAGAAAATATTAAATATAAAACAGAAAAAGAGAGTTAATTTACAAAAAACTTACCAAAAATACAAAGGAGGAATGTAATTTAGGGACGGAGGGAGTAATCATTGATTTTCATTGCATTAATTATTGCTCCTTACAATATGTTTTCTCTGTTTCTTTATAGTTGCAACACTTCATTAAAATAAAAATGTCACATAGTTGAAACACCCTATAAAAGGAAGGTTTTAAAGTGAAAATTGTACTATTATCTTTATTTAAAGCACATGGCCCACTTGATTATACTCTTAACAACATTTTAACCCCATTTTAAGTGTTATATTATATGAGGTCCACTTTTTTTAGATACTGTAATAAAGTATGTGTTGCAACTATTAAAAAGGAAGAAGTATATGTTGTTCTTGGCATTATTAGTAATAAGTTTCATTATATTTGTTGGAATTCAATAGAGGGATGGCTATTGAAGATCCATTAGAACCACATGGAATAAAGCTAGTAATAGATGACTATCCATATGCAAAAGACGGGCTAGACATGTGGGCTATAATCGAAGAATGGGTTACTACCTACGTGAACCACTACTACACAATTCCGAGTATGGTAGAATCAGATAAAGAGCTTCAAAATTGGTGGACAGAAGTAAGAACAAAAGGGCATGCTGACAAGAAAGATGAACCGTGGTGGCCGAAACTTAAAACACAAGATGATCTGATTTACATTGTCAGCACCATAATATGGGTAGCTGCAGGGCACCACTCAGCTGTTAACTTTGGACAATATCCCTACGGCGGCTACTTCCCTAACAGGCCTACAATCGCTAGGACTACGATGCCTACTGAAGATCCCGTTGATAACGTGATGGAGTCTTTCATTGAAAAGCCTGAGGACACGCTCCTTCGATGCTTCCCATCTGAAATGCAAGCTGCGACTGTTATGGCGGTTTTAGATTTACTCTCAGCTCATTCTCCGGATGAGGAATACTTGGGCACTATCCCGGAACCATCATGGAAGGAAGATCCCGAGATAATGGAAGCTTTTGATAAGTTTGATTCAAAGTTGAAGGTGTTAGACGATGAAATTGATAAAAGGAATGCTAACAAAGATTTGAAGAATAGAAATGGAGTTGGTGTTATGCCTTATGAGCTATTGAAGCGTACTTCTGAACGTGGTGTCACTGGTAAAGGAGTTCCAAACAGCATCTCCATTTGAGAAATACAAAACCAGTTTTTTATCCATTGTATGAATTGATGAATAAAATTACCTGAGAGAATAAAGTTACTATTTATTTTTAAATTTTAACATATCATTAATGTAATCCTGTATTATGGATGGAAGTCGGATGATATGGAATAAATCTTGGCTATAAAATCAATAACTTATATAATAATGTTGTTCATCTTATTTCTTCAAATACAGATGATTGCACGTTAATTATTAGTACTTTTATTTTTCATGAATAAAAGAGCAACTTTTGTTGACATTGTAAACCCTTAATGGCCTTGAATGTAAACTTATTGGATGGAAATTTGTTTGTCTTTAAGAGTATGGCTTGGGAAATGAAGCATCTCTACGGCTACGAAATTCTACTTCTTGAGTTAATTACAAGAAAGAGACCCATCAAAGATATGTTGGAACCCAATGTATATCACTTGTGAGTGTCCCACATTGGAGAAAGAGGAGAGGTGGTTCCACTTTATGAGGTAAATGAGTAACTCCTACTATTGCCAATTGGTTTTAGTATGGAAGCTCCAAAGCCTTGTTTGTGGACCTAACTCTCCTCCAATCAACTAGTATGAGCACAAATAAAAGTAGTTAATTTCAGTTTATTTCATGTAGCATTATATCATACGTGCATCTAAGTATTGTTCTTTTCTAAATAGTATAACCAATTCATGGTCCATGATTATGTCTATGCAGTTGATTTAGAAATTTCGAACTAATTGTTGATAATGAACTTAAAATTGAAAAGTATTTCATATTTGATATTTCCATATAAACCTTGCTTGTTGTATTTGAAATGCAACTTCTTAGAGTTTCCAAGGATCCAGGATTTCTGAGATGGTAGGTGACCATCAATTATTGATCACTTGTTAAAAAAAAAAAAAAAAATTCTAAGTCTAGTTCATAATTAATTTCGTTCCAAAAATTATATTACAACCAAATCGATTTCAATCCAAAAATCGGACACAAATCCATACTACAACCAAGTAATATATACTTAAAAAATCCATCTTACAAGTCGAAAGTACTACAAATAACATGTTGTAAACAAATGTACTATAAAACATTTATTTAAATTTTTAAAATGGGATGCACACACATATAGATATAAATAGAAGCAAAAGCAAAAATAAACAAAAAAAAAGTGAAATAACTTAAGAGACCTATTATTAAATATAATAGTTTTTTTTTTAAAGGAAAATTGGCTTAAAATAATACTAACATTTCGTGTTGCGTTAGCCTACAAGCTCTTTATGTAGCTAATAGTTATATATAAGGAAAACTTCCAATGGGATTAGGAGCATTCTCTAATCTTAAACAATCGTCCAAAAATAACTATCTTTCATAATCAAGTCCTATGGAGGAGTATGATCCAAACTATTATGATGTAAATGCCAAATAAAAAAAAATCTGAAACCGAGTTTTTGCGTCTAAAATCATGTTCATGGAGTCAAATTTTGGATTATCTACAGTTTCTAGTTTTGTACACCTAATGTCACTTGTAAGCAAATGTGTAAAATGATGAAATATAGTGACTTGATAATAATCCTTAATTTTCCGCACTACAAAACACAAAGTTAACGTTATTTAAGGAAGCCAAAATTGATAATGACCTTAAATTCATTCCATATATGATATTTCCGCAACATCACCATTCACCACACATTAGTAATTAATAATCCATGAAAATGAATGCACTCAAGTGACCTGAAGGTGAAGGCATAGACTTGATGAGTCATTTGTTGTTTTATTAAGTCAAGCCAAGCGGAAACAGTTAAAAGGACGTCTCCCTCGATATTTATACATACGTAGTATGTTGTATGTAGTAGGCTTCTCATCTGTCAAATATGCCAAAGAATATTCAATACAAGTATTAGCTGAGATCAAAATTCCTAGTGTTTTCCATCTTCGTTCACTACTCAAAAAACAAATCATTAAAATGGAAATTGACATACTATGCCTTGGACTCAAGGACACATATAAACTAATACTGGAAAGTGGTATAAAGTCATGACTAAACGAAATACAGTAGCAAAACAAAATAATGAACCATGGAATGGAAAATTAACAGGCATACAACTAAACAACACCATAGTTGGATTAACAGGCAGTCTTTTTTCTTTTTTTCTTTTTTTTTTTTTTTTTTTTTTTTTTAAGGAAATGGATTAACAGGCATTCAATGAACAGGAAAATTAAATTCTTGTAATTTAAAAAAAAAAAAAAAAAAAAAAAAAAAAGAAGAGAAGATTAATTTATACTTTACAATATCCCAAATACAGAAAATTCCAATTCAATTTCAGAAAAAGAGGATCAATACACAATTAATAAACCTGAACAATATACAAATGAGCCAGACCCAGTTGATAACCGATATCAACAAAAATTTGTTAATATCACCAATTTTTCTCTCTCCTCCCCTCACATGACCAAATTTTCTTTCTCTCTCCTCCATTCCCATGGCCACTACTTCCTTCTCTCTCCTCCATTCCCATGCCCAAGGTCAACGACATTTGCGGATCTAAAGCGGCCGGCCGGCCAAAAAACGACACCGTAGTAGCAATTTATGAAAATTGGGGACATACAAACCCTTTAGGGAAAGGGATTTGCTCGTACTAGTGGTGTTGCGGTGGTCGAATGTTGGTGCAGTGGCTTGTGGTGGTCGATTCGTGAATGTAAAGGCTAGTGAAGCTAAAGGTAGTAGCTAGTGGTGTTGCGGCGGTCAAATGTTGGTGCGGCGGTCGTGTGGTGGTCGGTTGGGGTCAATTCGTGAAGGTAAAGGTGGTGCCGTGGGTGGTAGTAGAGGTTGCACGGTGGTGATAGAGGGGAGAGAAGGGGGTGTGGTTGCTAAAATTACAAAATTATCCTTGGTGTGGTAGCTAAATTTACAAAATTAGCCTTGATATTAACAAGTTTTGTTGATATCTGATATCAACTTGTATTTACTCTATACAAATTAGGCTCCGGTAATTTGAGTTCTGGGTATATTAAAGTAATTATACTATACACTACAATTATTAACAGAGAATTAAGCAATAAACAGCAAGCCAAAAATACAGTTATATAGGAAAAGATATATAGTGAACAATTTAATCAAAAAATTAAGAAAGAAATAGGGAGAATTTAGCTACTTACAACTTAGACCTGGTTATTGGGCGGGTCGGGTGCGGGTCGGTTGCAGGTTGGGTCAAAGAGGGTCACATTTTATAGGGTCAATAGTGGGTCGATAATGGGCGGGCCTACAAAATATCAATTAAAAAAAATATATTGGACAAAGTCATTATTAAGTATATATGAATATAAATTTATCTATGTAATTATTTTTACATTATATATTTTCTTTAACAATTAAATTGGAAAAACATTTTGGCCCTATATTGACCCTGTCCAATAAGGGCCTTATCTATTAAAGGCCCTGTCCAATAAAAACCCTTTAGGCTTGACTCCGGCCCTATTATCATTAGGCTACCCTACCCAATAACCACCTCTATTACCAACCCATGAAAAGAAGGGTAAATATTGTTGGGATGTAATCAACAAATTGCTGCTGAATTTTACTTAATCTTGTGAATTATCGCCATTGATGATGTAAAAGGGAAGTTTTTGGTAGATGATTCTCTCTGTCTTTTTTGTAGAGTTTGATTTTACCGAGTAAGGTCCTACTCAATTCATCTTGTTTTTTTTTAATTGAAATTATATTAATTGAATTTACATTATTTTTACTATGTATTAAACTAAAATTAGATGAAGCCCGTGCAATCCACGGTTTGTTTGAATTTTCAAAAATAATTATTTTTTTAATTTATGTGCTAAAATTGGTTATATATTTAGATAAAATTCCTAATATCAAAGAATAATATTTTATATTTAATTAATTTAAATATAAAAATCTCATTCGCCAATTTTACTTACGTGGCATTTGAATTATTTAATTAGAAAAGAATTTATCTCTTATTTAATTGACTACTACTAATTTATAATCCTACGTGGCGCACTAAAAAAATTAGATCCTACGTGACTCTCTAAAAACTCGAGAAAAAAAATTATATATATATATATATAATTGATAAAAAATTCAATAGGAATTTATGTGCTTTCTGTGACAATTTAAATAATATAGTAGGTAAGTAATGGCTAATAATTATATCAATGAAAATGTTCGAGTAAAAAAATATTTTAAAAAATAGCAAAGTAAGTTTGAAATATTAGAAATTTCTAAAAAAAAAGTGAGCCAATAATAAATTAATTAAAAAAACGTTCTAAGCTCATTGGGTTGATCCGAACCCAAATTTTTAGGCTAGAGTGAACGTTTCTTGACCTGTGACCTGAATTGACCTGACTCATAATGACCCGTGATCCGACCTAATTGACAGGTCTACAAATAATAAAATTATATTAGATTGTGAAATATTTGATTTCAATCGTTTAGAATAGATTAGTAAGATTACATATTCCTCAAAAAAAATGTATTATAAATGGATGTTGTACATTGTTAACTACTCCCATCGCTCCAAAAAAATTATGATATAAAGAATAAATTTATATGATAGTTATTGAGATTTATAATCTAATATGTGTTTTGAATAAAATCATAATTTTATTGGTACATATATTAAAATTTTATTGAAAATAATACTCTACACTAACAATTTATCCTAAAATTCTATCCAAATTTTATTAAAACTAGAATTTTCAAACTAACTTTTTTTTATCCTGTCCAATTTTTTATTAAACAAATAAATCATATGTGTCAAAATAATTTTATACATCACCAATGTGGCGTGACAGTTGGCGAAAAGTTGGGACGCCAAGTATCGCTGCCTCGTGGCCCGGCTAAAAGTTTAGTTTTATAATAGTTATATGATTAGATTATTATTATTATTATTATTATTATTATTATAATTATTATTATAATTATTATTATTATTATTATTATTATTATTATTATTATTATCATCATCTCAAAAACAAAAGTCATACAACCTACAATAAATTAGTGGGAAGCCGAGATACAATCTGGGCCCCCACTCCTCTAGATATAGAAAAGCCTACCCTGGTGAAGATATGAGCTGCAGCACGAGCCCCAATGTCTTGCGTCGTCGAGAACCTCTGAACAGCCTCCTTCTCTAATTCCCCAAGCAAAGAAAAGGAGAAGGGAATGAAACCATATCCAATCACCCGACAACAAGCCTCATACTTGCTCCGCTTCCGTTGAGCCGCATCAACCACTGCCCATCTAGGGACAAAGTTAGATAGCCCCGACTGTGTC